GGGGGCGGGGGGCGCGGGGGGGAATCATGCCTTGTTGCCATCAGTAGCAGAAATGCTGCAAGTTCTCATCATAAGAAGGTTGTCATCACAATCCAACTTGAGACCTCTCACTCTGCATCATTAAGGCACTTTGCAGAGCTGTATTTATGCTTCATTCCAACATATTGGGAACAGAGCACTCCCGCTTCTTTTGTGGCTCTGCTCAGTGTCATCATCTGCATAAGAAATCCAGTTCCAAGAGTTTTTACTGCATAAAAAACATCATCTGCATGTGGAAAACAGAAGTTATTTCTCTAGTTTGGAACTAGTCCTGATATCAACACAACGACAACAAAACCCAAAGGAAAAGGTTAAAATCATGCCACAAGATCCTGGAGAACCACAGACAACTAGTGAATCTGATTTGCTGCGCTGCTGCAGTAAACCGTGGTTAAAGCATCAGCTCTCATCTACTCATTTTCACACTCATTTATTCATTTTCACAGTCACTGTTCAGGTTGAAATTTGACCTCTGAACTCCTCCAACACAACCTATATTTTTGGTTCTGCTTGTTCACGTAACTCAGACAGCTGCTGGCTACTAAGCATTCCCTAAAGTGACTCATTGGTCCGGAAGGGAGCTGCTCCTTCCCTTCCACCACCTCCCAATCCCTCTCCCTGAAACTAGCAGGGCTGTTCACGGGCACCAGACAAAACCTTGCCAGCCGTGGCAGGCAGTGAGCAGAAGGTATGTGAGATAGAACTCGCATCTAGCTGCTGCCCACTGAAAAATATAAATTCCCTAGGATGGAACAATGTCAAGAAGCCAGAGTGATCAAATAGCATTCAACTTAATTAGACTGAGTACCAAAGGAAGACAGGAGCCCACATTTCACTGTACCCCTGCTGGAGGAGGGAATGCAACAATGACAAAAAAGAAATTCACATAAGGGAAAAGCTTTCTGTATGCTAAAAAGTAAAAGTACAACAGCAACCTGTCTTGCTGAAAGCAAGTGACCTGTGAAAGGGGACAAGAGCTGGGCATACAGTTCCTAGTATGTACAAATGTCGTAAGAGTCAGTGATCATGATATAAAAGATAAGGAATGAAAAGCCAAAAGGAATAAACAAGCTCAAGCACGGATTGCTGTATGGGAGCTGCTGATTTCTTCCAGCTGAGGTTTCTGAAAGAAACTTTCACCACTCTGTAAGCACGACCCGTTTTGCATGGGCAGGCACAGCTCTGCGCTGCAGTGAAGCCTCAGTCACAAAACAGATTGTGATGGACATTTTTTACCCCAGGACTCCCTGCAAGGAGCAGCCTTCATATTTGTCAGGCACTCTGAGGAGAGTGGCCAACACAAAGATCACTATCATTGTGTCCCTGGCCTGCACTTGCTACGCACATCTCCGATCAACATCATTTACAGAGCAAGCCCTTCTCAGCTCCCACTGCCCTTCTCCAAGGGCAGAGAGAGAACATCAGGACACACCAAACGGCCTTTAGGATACGCTATGTGATGTTTTCTGGAACTGAATAGTCTTGGCATTATGCTGAATATTTATATAAACAGCAACGTGTCAGGATTTGGGGGCAGCATGCAGAGCTCTGTTTCACACGACATTGCACAGGCTGCAGAGAGCATGCCAAACCAGCTGCTCGGACTTCCTGAACTACCAATCAGTCAGGTTCTCTCTTTTTCATAAAAGGGCAGATTATTTACTCTTTCATTTGGTAACAAAGACTATACCCAGAACTAAAAAGGGTTACACCTACAGGTAAAATTTGTAATTTTCAGTCCAGCTATTTTTAACTAGAGGAATCACTCCCTAACAATTTTTATAGGAAGTAAAGTAATGGTGTATTATTCTCAGGCCAAGATCTCAGCTGTCTTAAAAAAATGCTGATACCAATCCCTGAAAATATTCCAAAGGAACTCTAACGTAATCACAAAAACACCATTTCCCATGCAAAACGTCAACAGGAGGGAATACAGAGGTTGTAACTGAGCTTGTAATTGCCTTCAGTGTAGACATGCAGCGAAGTGGCTCCAGATTCAAAGTTATATTTTAATAACCTGTTGGCTCAGAAACAACTTGACCTACTTTCTTCGTAGTTTGCAAAAAGAACACCCATGCACGCACCCTCTTGGTACCATTTTGCAACGAATACCCTTGTACATACTTCGATAAGTGAATAGATAACTGCTCCAATCCTGCGTAGCTGGTTGATCATTTAACTGTAAACAAAGGCCCATCTACCACTTAAGCTAATCTGAACCCGATGAAAGTCATCAGTGCTTTTCATAGCAACTCATTTATGCTGTACTTTCTAGGGCATGAAAAAACCCTCAGCTTTCTTCAAACTTTACAAAAGCCTTCCCCTTGCCATAACAGCCAATCTGGCATTTTTCAAATAAGATTTTTTTCTAATCAAAATTATAATGGGACTATAACTGGGGCTTATTGTTCAATACAGGCAAACTTAGCTATGAAGACATGTCACAGTTGTACTGACTTTTGCAGAACTGGGTTCATAAATTACATGGTAACTGCTTTTGAAACAAGAAAGCTTAGTGGGTAAATCTATGAAGTAAGGATATCTATCTCATTTCCATAGAAAGTACTGAGGAGATTTTGCATTTCCTGTGGGAAGCGGGAATGAATGAAACTTTCCACAAACAGCACTGCTCACAAAGTACCTCAGTATTTCCTGGTGCAATACACCGATATGACCTTTGTGGGGACAAGGATGTAGAACAGCGAAGGTGCAACTTAAACAAAATTTCCACTTAAATGGTGATTTATGAGAAAGAACATAATTAAATACAGCTCATGAGTCAGACCTGGTGAAATCTAAAAGACCCAAAAGAAAGCACAGCTATGACCAGAAAAAAGGGACTTTCTAAAACAACAGCACCTTCCTACACAACACTTCCAGGACCCTATCCTTGGGCCCCAGACAACTTTACTAAATAAGGAAGGTATTTTACACAGCCCACATACAATCTGATTACAGCTGAAACGCCTGCACTCAAGCGAAGGCACAGAGCTCTTCTCCAGGGCACCCTCGGCAGTCTGTACAGCCCCAAACAGGAAGGCAAAGACAGACACGGTCACATTCTCCCTCCTCCAGGCAAGGGCTAAACTTCATCTCCACTGCAGGCAAGAAAAGCAGAAGACAGACCTCAGGACAAGAGTGTGAGAACTTTGCACCATCTTCCGCTAGGGATGCATGTCAGGGTGCGCATTCCTCCTCTGCATCATGCATCACATTTGCCTGCTTTATGGTAAAGAGCACATCTCTAGTTAACATTTACCCACTCACTTTGGAGCTTCTTAGGAAGACAGCAAGAAGAGGCATCAACCGCCTGCAGCAAGAAAGAAGAACTGCCACTGACCCACGCGGTCAAGGAACAGGGCCAACCACCACCTATTCCACAGAACAACCACCTGGACTGTCTGATACAGATTAATTACATTGAGAAATCATTTGACAGACAGTTGTGCAAGTTTCAACTTTCTAAAGCAGAAGTGATGTTCGTTCTTATGCTTGATCCACCACTTGAAGGGGGGGGAAAAAAAAAGAAAGAAAAAAGAAGTCTTCTAGGTTGTGTGCTATGATGGGGAATAAAAGGTGAAGTCTGCTGTTACTTGCAAACTGGCTCATTTTTTGATGGGCAATCACATCACTTGGTGAGAAGTAGATACTTACACAACATATACTTTGGGCTCAATGGATATTCAATTTGATTAGCAGATGAAGTTGTTATAACTTTTCAGAGTCCATTAGAATGGAACTGCCAGAAATCACCCTAGCAAAACAGAAGCAAATCTGTGTCCTAAAAAGACTGCAGCTATTGTCTACAAGCTTGCTCAAAGAAACCAGGTGATCATTTCAGTTTATATTCAGCAGATATAACTGGATTAGAAAATCATAAATCATCCAGACTTTACCAAACATATACCAAACAATTTTCTGTCTCTTGTAACGGAATTGCACATCTGTGAGCACTCTGGGAGCAGGTGAGAGCTAAAGTCAAAGGAAATACAGAACAAAGTAGGTAAACTAAGAAACAGAGAAAGCAGCAGAAAGAAAGCGCATTGAAGGATGGAGATTTTACCTCTCACTTACCCTGGTAAAGCTGAATGAACCTGGGATGTAAGGCAGAGGTGATAATCCCATCTGGTAACTCTCTCAAAAATAATTTCAACAGACTGGCTGCTGAGTACACATCACCGTCTTTAACAAGTTCCACCTCTTCCCCACGCTCGTATTGCAGACGCAACTGTTCCACCATTTTCATGCTGCCATTTACCCTGAAGAGGCCTTCCTGCGTCATACCTGTAATTATATATTGCATATGAGATGGATCTGAACTGAGGCATCCCAGTGATATGATGAAACAGATATTCTAGTGTGAATAATAAACTTGTAGTAATACGAAGGAGGGCAATTAATACAACGCAGTTTAAAAAAAAAATACTATTTTCCCCCCAGAACCTCACTCTAGTCAAGAAATTGAATTATGATAATTAACAAATACCAGTGACCAGATCTTGAGGCCTGGGATACTCTTTGAGAACCCACAAAACTCAGTGCCATTGCTGTAACCTCACACCATGCAGAAATCAATTGAGACAGCCACATTTTGCATTGGTATATTTCAACAGAAAAGGATCCAGATTCTACAAGACAGTTCGGTTGTTTCACTTTTGCAAGTAGCCCATTACCTTGAGCGGGACTCTGCCAAATTCACACGTGTGACTACTTCCAGCTTCACATTTTAGGGTAACAGCTTCTTACCTGTGACCATCACAGAGCAAAACCACCTGAACACGTGCTGATTGCAGCAGCAACTCCATAATGAGCACGGCAACTTTATGATAGCAAAAAATCTCAGTGAGCAAACATATATTTTGGACAGCACAAAGCCCAAAGTATTTCACAATGAAAAAGAAAAGGTATCGATCACTTCAGGCCAGGCACCCCACACCCAGTGAAGGAGATGCAGAAAGAAGGAGGCTTCCATGGAGGAAGCCAGATGAATCATACTGTATCAAACATCACTTTCTAGGCATATGCTGAGATTCAAATCCTTAAGTAAAGTGCCTAAAACTGAACTCAATAAATTAATGTTTCTCTATAACACTTTCACCACAAAAATTCCGCTTTTCTAATACTGTGTGTATAGACCTGCTTATTCTTCTTCAGAAGTGTATATGGTTTTCATCAGTTCAGAGCAGACATCATGAAACAATAGTCTGACAGAATGCTTCCAGTCCCAGAAATCAATACTAATGCAGCAGAGTTTGTAGAGAGCAATAGTCTCTTTTATTGGACCAGAAGACAAACTGATCTAGTAAGGAAAAAAAAAAAAAAAAAATGGACAAGCACTCAAGCATTTTACTTGACTAATATAAGATACTGCTTACAGATCTTGTATTCCTGTACTCACAACAAAATGCATTCTTATGTGGTATGCTGTACTGCCATCTTGGGGGCAGCAGAAAATACCACATCTCAATAATGATTTTCATTTCTGCAGCACTAAGTGACCAAAGGACACAGTCCCCACGCAGATAAAACTTCCTTTCCTCTTCCTCAGTCATTTATGGAAGTAAAGAGAAGCTAGAACATACTGATAACAGTAATCAGATACTACTAAATTCAGCATAGGAAAACTTGGCTTCACCTATAAATCTGCAAATAGGCAGCTTAATGCAAACTTAGTTCAAGGATGTAGCTGCCTGACAGTCAGCTCAGCTTTTTCAAGTGGGTGGTCAGTTCCTCACGAGCTAGAAGAGAGACGCTGAAACGGTCTGGCTTTAAAAAGCCCTACAATGTCTATTGCAGTATCTTTGCAGAGTAGGAACTTGTAAGACAATACTGAACAATCAGTAACCATGATTCACAGAACACTGCCTCCAAATAGTTTGAATTCATACCTGGGCTGCTGTTAAAAATGTCTTCACAGTTAACCAACTTCACCATTACTTCACAAAACAAACCTTTGGCAAGCACGGGACACCCATTTCAAGAACTTCCTATGTAAGAGGGCATCTTTGAGATCTTGCTTGCACTTTTGAGAACGAGAATGGATTGTATCTTTATCGGGGCTGGATAATTGCCTTGGCATTCAGAAGCCTAGCTAATCTTGCTGCAGAGTAGAGGACTTGGCTTGTTTAGTTCATATTTGGGACACAGTCATGTGGGATTCAGGTCCTTTTATGGAACACAGAGCACAGCCCACAATTTGCAGTCAAGAGTTTGTGTCAGCTTCTGGCTTTGAACAAAACCTAAATGATGCAAAAACTTTTTCCATCCTTGCTCTTTCAGTGTTCCAGCAGACCACTTTAAAGCAAGTTGAAGTAGATCAAGCAAGATGCTGCTGTGTAAAGGTAGGATCATGTTTTAAATTTGCACTGTACCTTAATCCAAGCTAATTTGCAAGCCATGTTTGCATAGACTTAGAATCATAGAACTGTTTAGGTTGGAGAAGACCTTTAAGATCATCGAGTCCAACCACTAACCTAGCACTGCCAAGGCCACCACTAAACCATGTCCCTAAGCACCACATCTACCCATCTTTTAAATACTCCAGGGATGGACACTCAACCACTTCCCTGGGAAGCCTGGTCCAATGCTTGACAACCCTTTCAGTGAAGAAATGTTTCCCAATATCCAATCTAAACCTCCCCTGGCACAACTTGAGGCCATTTCCTCTGGTCCTATCGCTTGTTACTTGGGAGAAGAGACTGACAGCCACTTCCCTGCATCCTCCTTTCAGGTAGTTGTAGAGAGCAATAAGGTCTCTCCTGAGCCTCCTCTTCTCCAGACTAAACAACCCCAGTTCCCTCAGCCACTCCTCATAAGACTTGTGCTCTAGACCCTTCACCAGCTTCCTTGCCCTTCTTTGGATGCGCTCCAGTCAACTTCCTCAATGTCCTTCTTGTAGTGAGGGGCCCAAAACTGAACAGAGTACTCGAGGTGTGGCCTCACCAGTGCCGAGTACAGGGCTCAAGACCACCTCCCTGGTCCTGCTGGCCACACTATTCCTAATAAAAGCCAGGATGCCATTGGCCTTTTTGGCCACCTGGACACACCGCTGGCTCATGTTCAGCCAGCTGTCAACCAACACCCCCAGCTACTCTTCCACCAGGCAGCTCTCCAGCCACTCCTCCCCAGGCCTGTAGCGCTGCATGAGGTTGTTGTGACCCAAGTGCAGGACCCAGCACGGAGCCTTGTTGAACATCATACAGTTGGCCTCGGCCCATCGATCCAGCCTGCCCAGGTCCCTCTGCAGAGCCTTCCTACCCTCCAGCAGATCAACACTCCCGCCCAACTTGGTCTCGTCTGCAAACTTACTGAGGGTGCACTCAATCCCCTCGTCCAGATCATTGATAAAGGTATTAAACAGAAGTGGCCCCAATACTTCTGTTTAATACTTCTCTTCCCTGGGGAACACCACTTGTGACCAGCCACCAACTGGATTTCATTCCATTCACCACAACTCTTTGGGCCCGGCCATCCAGCCACTATTTTACCCAGCAAAGAGTACGCCCGCCCAAGCCATGAGCAGCCACTTTCTCCAGGAGAATGCTGTGGGAAACGGTGTCAAAGGCTTTACTAAAGCCCAGGCAGACAACATCCACAGCCTTTGCCTCATCCACTAAGCGCGTCACCTCATCCTAGAAGGAGATCACGTTAGTCAAGCAGGACCTGCCTTTCATAAACCCACGCTGACTGGGCCCAATCCCCTGGTTGTCCCGTACGTGCCGTGTGACGGCACTCAAGATGATCTGCTCCAGAACCCTCCCCTTATATGGGCATCACATTTGCTAACCTCCAGTCAACTGGGACCTCCCCGGTTAGCCAGGAGTGCTGGCAGATGATGGGAGGTGGCTTGGTGAGCGCTTCCACCAGCTCCCTCAGTACCCTTGGGTGGATCCCATCCAGCCCCATAGACTTCTGTGTGTCTAAGCAGTGTAGCAGATTGCTGACCGTTTCCCCTTGGGTTATGGGGGCTTCATTCTGCTCCCCGTCCCTGTCTTCCAGCTCAGGGGGCTGGGTACCCCGAGAACAACTGGTCTGACTGCTAAAGACTGAGGCAAAGAAGGCATTAAGCACCTCAGCCTTTTCCTCATCCTTCATCGCTATGTTTGCCCCCGCACACAATAAAGGATGGAGATTCTCCTTGGCCCTCCTTTTGTTGCTAATGGATTTATAGAAACATATTTTCTTGTCTTTCATGGCAGAAGCCAGATTAAGTGCGAGTTGGGCTTTGGCCCTTCTAATTTTCTCCCTGCATCACCTCACGACTTCCGTACAGTCCTCCTGAGTGGCCTGCCCCTTCATCCAAAGGTTGTAAACTCTCCTTTTTTTCCTGAGTTCCAGCCAAAGCTCCCTGTTCAGCCAGGCCGGTCTTCTTCCCCGCCAGCTCATCTTTTGGCACATGGGCACAGCCTGCTCCTGCGCGTTTGAGATTTCCTTCTTGAAGCATGTCCAGCCTTCCTGGACTCCTTTGCCCTTCAGGACTGCCTCCCAAGGGTCTCTGTCAACCAGGCCTCTAAACAGGCCAACGTCTGCCCTCCACAAGGCCAAGGTAGCAGCAGTTCTGCTGACCCCCCTCCTTACTTCTCTGAGAATCAAAAACTCTTATCATTTTGTGATTGCTGTGCCCGAGACAGCCTCCGACCACCACATCACCACCAGTCCTCCTCCGTTCGCAAACAACAGGCCTTCCCCACTTGGCTCCCTCACCAGCTGTGTCAGGAAGTTATCATCTTCCACACACGCCAGGAACCTCCTAGACTGTTTCCTCTCTGCTGTGTTGTATTTCCAGCAGACACCTGGTAAGCTGAAGTCCCCCACAAGAAGCATCTATCAGCTTCTAAAGGTCTATCAAGATACAGACATGGAATCTAAGGCTCTGCAATTGGATTATCATTACTGAGTAGCTAAGAGGGTAAGAGCAGATGCAGCTTCTTACAAGGTGAAATTGCCTCCACAAAATCTTTTCCATTGCTGAACAGCTACCACAGAATACATCTGTGCACCAATGGTGCTCTAGATTTCTGCAGAGAGATGTATTTCAACAACAGGAACTAAAGTCCCATTAAATGAATGCAAAGAGAAGCTAAGAATTGGACACCTACTTCCTTGAGGGGGTTAATAATAACTGG